TTGTCTTTTCTTTCCGGGCCTCCCTCGGCGTTAGGCTCCTCAGCCTCACCTCCTGGCTCGCGCGAGTGACACGGGTAGAACTTTATTGGAACATCAAAACATATAAACAATGGCAGCTATCTTACGCTGAGTCAAGCCATTGGTCACTCTACCAAGCATTGACAACTCTGATGGGCAGTAACTCTGTAAGTCTTCAGACAAATTTCTTCCCCAGTTCTATCTGAAGGTACCAGGAGTTGAACTGGATCTTCTTTACGCAACACATGGGCTCTTACCTTGAGATCAACCCACTCCCCAAATAGTGACCATCAGCTGGCTAAGAACAAACAACAGGAAAGGGATGTTGAATTCAAGACATCTGTGTGGACTTTCCGGTGGCATCTGATTGACTAATATGGAAGACAGAATGCTGAAGTCAATTATCTTTCCAAATATGGTTTTTTTTTGTTTTTTTGTTTTCAGTATTGTATACCATGTGACGCACAAAAACATTTCCATTTTAACTATCAGAGGATTTTGTTGACTCCAGCTTTGCCAGAGCAGCCTCCATGAAACAAAAACTCATTTTCAGTTTGGAGAAATAAAATGACTTTGGATCCTGATTGTTAGCAATAAATTATCTGCCACAAACATTGGGCAGTTAATGTATTAATAGTCTCTCAGCTACTCTTGAGTTTATTATTACTGTTCACTGAATTGATTTGCAAGCTGTTTACTGAGACTAGTAGGATAATTCATGAATGACCAAGTCCACATAATCTATGGAGATTAATTCCATTTGCTAATCTTTACTATTGCCATGTTTTTTTTAATGCAATAACCTCAGTTGTGATTTTAAAAAAAAAAATATGCAGTGTCCATGATTTGTGGTAACAAAGTTATGTTTGGAACAATGGGGAAGAGCCATATTTGAATAATAACTCATATATTTAGCATATTAAAGGTCTCACATTCAACCCTCAATATACCATACCAAAAAGAGGCTCATTAAAAAGAACTCACTCTTTTCTCTGGCCCTTTCCTAAGACACAATAATGTTTCTGCCCATTAATGAGATGTTACTGAACGAGATAAAACTAAGTCTCAATTAATATAAAGCTCCTTCCTGTCATCAAACAATAGGGTCAGCTGGAATATTAATACTATCCAAAGAATCATCTTACAAAAAAAAATGCCCCTGGGTTATATCCCTTTATATCTATTTCTTAGCCCAAGGCAGCAAAGGGGATGTGAGACACACAACATGCTTTATCAGATTTTTGTGAGTTAGCACTTACACCAGAGGTGGGCAAGATGCTCTTTATAGACCCCACATGGGACTCCTCAAACTCCCCACTCTGGCACCTCACTGTTTTTAAAGAGTACTCAGAAAATCCCAATGTGCCCTTTACACAGTGCAGAGAAATGTTCCCAGTTTTCGAGGGGGTCTTTAGCATCTGACACCCACACCCCCGGATATGTTATTTCTAAAGCCTCCAGATAACAAGGTGTTTTTTTTTCCAGGAACTGCCACACTTTGTAGGGTGGGGTCTGTGGGAGTGGCTGTGTCCCACCAAGATTGCCCATTCTGGCTTGCATAGACCTACGCAACTGCTTCCCTCCAAAGGGAGGGAGCCCCCAACTTTTTAGGGTCTGGTTGTACCCCCATCTACTAAGCACAAAGAGGAAAGGAAGAGTTCCTTATATGTGTGTGTACACACACACACACACACACACACACACACACACACACACACACACACACTACAGACATCTGGTTTCAGTTAGAATCAATGTTGGGGGCTCTTTCAGTTCCGACTTAAAAACAAAACAATCCTTTGCATATTTTGTCAGAAGGAAGTCCAACATTATCACATAGTACTGCAGCCTAGACTAAGACTGTCACCCTTACATGCTTAGTAAATACCACAAAGAGCACATTGTAATAAATAGCACATGTAACAAATAGCACAAATGTATCTGCAAAACAGAATCTTATTTTTCCCCCACTACGTCTTCCTCCCAGATAAGCATGTAGAGGACTGGAGACTTACTATGTATGGCTCCAATCCTATGAACATTCACTTGGAAGCAAGTTTCATTCTACTTTTTTTTTTTTTTTTTAGTAATTTGATTTTTGAAACTAAAAGCAGTACTGGGGGAAAAAAGAGAAACATATTTTTTAAAAAAACCTCTTAATAATGCAACAGCACATCATTAATACAATAATACACAATGTGCTCCCCTCCACCATGACCATCTGGAGGTACGGCCATTTCCCCCTCCTTTCATGGATTCCCATTTCTCTTCCAAAACAGCACTGGTTCTTGTGAAGGTGTAGAACTCCCTTTATTAACAGGAAGGATAAAAGCTTCCCATATATCAATAAAGAGACAGTCGAAGTGGTGTGTGGGTGTGTATCCTTCATGCCCAAATGGTGGAATGAGGCAACCTCATTCTTGCGCTATAAACTACCACGGCCAAGAGTAGAACATAAGCCTTTACCACAGATGTATATGTTTCTGCCAAATGAAGAGGTATCATAAGAATGTTGTGATTTAAAGAAGAGTTACTTCCCCAGAATAACAAACGTAGATTCAATGTTGATAGAAATTCTATAGATTGGTGCTTTATAGCTTGCATTTCCTTACAAACCTATGGCTAAGCCTTTGAAACCAAGAGACAATACCACCTCATATGCAAACATGATCCAGCCCTGTTGCAGCTTCCCCAACATTTACTCAACAGCTTCCTATAATAAAACCTGAGTCTTGGTGGAGTGGTGGTGGGAATAACTTGAAAGCAGTGTGCCCATATCATGGTCAAAGCACGTAGTTTATTCCAGAGTGATTGCCAGGTAGAATTTGGCTGAATTCTGAATTGATCTGAGAGGATTTCAGCCATTCTTACTACAATGAAGTGCAGGGGAGTAGTAGATGTCACTGATTACATGGCTTGACTAACAGCCTGTGTAAAATTTTGTCTCAGCGGGGATGTAAAGATTCCTCTCCAGACACAAACACAAGTTCGCCTTAACATGTTGTTTTAGACAGATTTCCACAAATCTGTCTGAATAGAGTTGACACTAATCCACATCAGAAGTGCAGGATCTTCTGCATCTGCTGGAGAGAAAACTCTGTGCCACACAACGTTCTGCTTTACAGTTGTAACTGGAATGAACTGGGCACATTTCTCGCCTCTACTGAGTTGAGCCAGAGAGCCCACCGATCACTTCCAGTTTCACAAAACACCAGGATTCCATTCCCCTCCATTGACTCCTCAGAAAATATTTATACCTTTCCGTGGAGAATCATCTCTTCTCATTTTCCATCTGCATTTGTGCTTTTGAAATAATTCATAAGTGCTGAACGAAGGAAAGGAGACACGGAGAAAAGAGATTCTGCAGACTTGGTGCTATTTCAAGAGATTCAAATGCTTTCATGTCTCAAGAAAAATCAAGGGTGGAAGGAATTCCAGCTGCTTACTTGACTTCAAAATATATCTTCATTGATTCCAGCTCATTGTTTTGATTTTTTTCCCCCCTCTGATGACTGACTAATCGAGTTGAGCATTTCCCTTCTGCAGAAGTTCTCGCCTGCGGTTTGCTCAGCAGGTCTCCCGCTGCCCTGATGAGTGCCAGAATTATATAAAGGGTCACTTCAAAAGACTCAACGCCCATTACAACATCCATTTGCATCTCCTTTTGGGCTCCTCTACTAGGCGGCAATATTTTCTATGTAGTTTGCGAAGTTTAAGAGCTAGCGGTGGACGGAGGCGGGATTCTAAAAATAATGCATCTGGGTTGTGATTGAGAATGAGCTTCAATAAGTTTGATGTGTGATTTAAGGGGAGAATGGGCTACCTTTGGAACATCAGCTGTGCCACTCAGCTTTTGATGTGTGTGAATGACCATTTTGTGTAACCACCAACAGATCCCCCCTTTCATCAGATGTTAGAGAGAGGCCTCCAACCACGGCCATGAAAGGTGCATACATTCAGGCAAACCTTCAGATATTCAGCTATCCAAGCCACTGAGATTTTCATAGATAATAGCCAGCACCTTGGATTGGGCCCAGAAACAAATTGAAAACCAGAGCCAATGAAACAGCTAGGGTGACATGATCCCAAGAAACAAACACTCCCAAATATTTTGGCTTCCTTCTTGATAATATTTTCTGCCAATGGATGTGTCAGTTCTTCATTCCTTGTCTATTTCCTGGGCCATTGATCCTTTTGTACTTGGCCTGATCCAACAGGAACTATAGCATTACATCTCTGACATCTTGCCTACAGCTTCTCACTCGTACCATCAAACATCACAAATATCTAAAATCTTAGATTAAGTAAACTGAAGCCAGGAACTTTGGAAAAAAGCCACAGAACACAACTTTTAGAAAGTTCAAGAACGAAGTTCAGAAGAGAAAGCTAAGAACACATACTGTGTTCTGTGATGACTCACCTGATATGTGGCAACTGCTTCTCTGTCCAGCGACCGTGTCACCTTGACTTCTCCAGTGCTCTCATCAATTACAAAAGTTCCCCTTGGCTCCTGTTCCACTCCTTTCCCAAATATTCGGAATTTTGATCCCTCGGGTCTGTCATTGTCTATAACCTATGCGAAGCAAGAACAGTGGTAAGGTTTAGAACCATCGTACAAAATTAATGCACACACCTAAATAACATGCCATCTTAAACCCTATCTAAATTGTTTCGTTCTTCTGAAGAAAACCTGAAAATTGGGAGGAGAACAAGAGGTCACAGCAGATTCTTAGTGGTTTGGAAAATTCTATTTCCCTTGATCCTTTGGGATAACCTGTAGCTATCAAGCTGATAGATATTCACTGACTCTGTGAAATCTAACACTTTTCCCCCCACACTGTTGTTAACATGAATCCAGATCACAAGTGTGCGCATGATTACCATTTTAGCATTTCCTTTCCCACACATGCTCTGGTGAGAGGGCTGTAGTAGGTAAGTAGATCTATACAGGTTCAAGGGTAAAATAACTGATTTGGTAATAATGTTTGCTCTATGGATTGGTTGGTTGGTTGGTTGGTTGGTTGGTTGGTTGGTTGGTTGGTTGGTTGGTTGGTTGGTTGCAGATTCAGGAGCTCAGATAAGACAACAGTGGCCCAAATCCTGTTGCTTGACATAGTAAACTTCACTAGAGTAGGCACACTGGATTAATGGAGATGTAGTGAGACAATTCCTCCATCTGTTCCACTGAGTCAAATGGACCTGCTCTAGCTGTCATTTACTGTGCTAAAGTAAGTCACAGTTAAGAGTATGCCCACTTTAATCAACAACACTTATGGAAGCTTTGACTCACCAAATCCCCATTGATTCCACAAGCCTACTCTAGTTTGATTCACTAAGCGAAGCAACAAGATTTTGGCAATTGAACTATATGTCACATTGTCTGTCCCAGTCTGAATATGTTGTTACAGATATTGTCACAGCTGAGGGTGCGCAGATGGCAATCCAAAGATGGTGTTGGTGAATTTAACACTTATGGAAGCTTTGACTCACCAAATCCCCATTGATTCCACAAGCCTACTCTAGTTTGATTCACTAAGCGAAGCAACAAGATTTTGGCAATTGAACTATATGTCACATTGTCTGTCCCAGTCTGAATATGTTGTTACAGATATTGTCACAGCTGAGGGTGCGCAGATGGCAATCCAAAGATGGTGTTGGTGAATTTTGAATAATCTAGATATTATCTCACTGTAATTTGTTAAGTGCAATTGTCCAGTAGTTGGAGCATTCTTTGTCACTGCCCACCAAAGATGGTGTTGGTGAATTCTGAATAATCTAGATATTATCTCACTGTGTTTTAATTTGTTAAAAGAAACTTAAAACAGAAGGAAAGATTGCTACTATATATCTACTGGTGGTGTAAGCTAACCTAGTGTACCGCAAACATTAGGCAGCAACTGGGAAGGGAGCAAAGATCGAAAACACAGAGACCTACAGAATTCATTCATTCATTCATTCATTCATTCATTCATTCATTCATTCATTCATTCATTCATTCATTCATTCATTCATTCAAGTTTTATACCATCTGTTTAGTGCAAGGCACTACTCTGGGCAGTTAACAGATAAAATAAACAAATAAAATATATAACAATAAAAAGAAACAGTAAACAATAAGATCAAATAATAAAAATAAAAATAGAACATAGTTATGAATATCAACACAGTGTCATTTTGACTTGTCATTGCTTCATCCTATAGAATTGTGGCGTTTACAGATAGAAAGCTGCAATTCCAACCTTTGGTCCATCAACTCAGTCTTGTCAACTCTGACAGGCAGCTGCTGTCAATGGGTTCAGGCGGGAGTTCTCCCACACCTACCAGGGGATGATGGCTATTCCCTGGTGGTCTTCCACCTAAATACTAAACAAGACTCTTCCCCCCACACACACACACCTCATCTAACATTCCTGGAGTTTCAGGCAGAACTATTAATTCTCACCCTCTCATCTAACATTCCTGGAGTTTCAGGCAGGACTATTAATGCTCACCCTATTTATAGATACAGTGATGCCTCGCTTGACGAGGATAATCCATTCCAGCAAAAATGCTGTAGAACGAAATCGTCATCAAGCAAGAGTAAAAAACCCATTGAAATGCATTGGGAACCGATTGAAATGCATTGAGAACCGGTTCAATGTGTTCCAAGGGGTGAAATACCTCAACATCCAGTGAAGATCCTCCATAGGGCAGCCATTTTCCGGTGCCTGTAAAGCGAATAAGCCTTCCTAAACACAGCAGGGAGCCATTTTGAAACAGCGGGTGGCCATTTTGGAACCAGACCATCAGCTGTTTTGATCATCGTCAAGCGAAAAATCGGTTCCCGAAGCAAGGAATCGATCATCGTCAAGCGATTTTTACCTATTAAAATTATTGTTTTGCGATAGCTATAGCGATCACAAAATACTCATCGTTAAGCGATTTCCTCATCTAACGAGATCATTGTCAAGTGGGGCACCACTGTACTTAGGACTGAATCCAGGACTTTATGCAGGTAGAGCATATGCTGTGCCAATGAGTCACATCCTAGGTCGCAATTCTGTAGCAGAGGATTCCAAGTTTGGCAAGGTAGAGGGAAGTCTCTGCTGGAGAGCAACTGTCCTATAGTTCAAGGCTGTGATCTAGAGCTGCCCAACAGAGAAATTCAAAGCATTTCATGAAACTAGAGATTCCAGGATTTCATAGGATGGGGCCATTACAGTTGATGACTATCAAACTGCCATCCCTGTGCATTGCAGATACGTGTATGACCCTGGAGATCTTGCAGTTTGGGAGAAGAGCTACCACCGGTTGACCCTAGTGGTTGAAGCTTCCTGAGCAAGCAAATTGTGATGTAACCATTCTGTGACTTGACCTGAGAAAAAAGTCTCCCTACCATTTCCCAGGATTCCTGGCTAACTTTTTTGATAAAGGTCCTCTAGCTCTCAGCTGTCACCCGGTTTCCAGTTCGGATGATGGACAAAATTCATCTGAAACCAGTCTCTATCAACCATCAAGGACTTTTTAATTCAGTTCCATGAACAAAGCTACCGAAAACACCAATCAAAGTGGGGTGTGTGTGTGAAATTCCCCTGCATAAGACACCAAAGCTTAGGAAGCTCTCAGCTGTCACCCGGTTTCCAGTTCTGATGATGGAGAAAATTCATCTGAAACCAGTCTCTACCAACCATCAAGGACTTTCTAATTCAGTTCCGTGAACGAAGCTCCCAAAAACACTAATCAAAAAAGGGGGGGGGGGAATTCCCCTGCATAAGACACCAAAGCTTAGGATGCAAAACAAGTTTCTGAATTTTGCAAGAGCATATTCTATTGCTCTGTTAGATGCTTTACTTCTTTTTATACACTCTCCAATATTTTTTTTTAAATGTTCCTTATTAAACCTATGAAAACAAGAGAAACCCAGAGAAGATTTATTCCTTATACTGACATGGATAATGTGCAGGAACATACCTCATCTTCAAAAACACCATCCCAAAATGTTAATTAAAAACTAAGCATTTACAAATTGATTTTCATTCACTTCATTTTTTTTCAAAAATTAAACACAATGGTTGAAATCCTGCTGCTTAGCATAATAAGTCGCAAGCAGAGTAGGCCAATCTGAATCAATGGAACTTATGGGGAAGATTGGTTGAAATCCTGCTGCTTAGCATAATAAATCGCAAGCAGAGTAGGCCAACCTGAATCAATGGAACTTATGGGGAAGAGGACTCACCAAATCTCCAGCGATTCAGTGGGCTTATTCTGGCAAGACTTATCATGTTAAGCAACAGGATTCCAGCCAATATGTACATGTACCCATTATCGCTGTATCAGAAATCCTACAGAACCAATCTTGAATTGCTGCGACCCCTTTCTGCGTGCAGTTCTTGGGGAGAGACTTTTTATAGCAGCTTTCAATAGATTTGTGATCATCTCAATATCAACTGCTTGATAGTTCCGTGGTTTGCGAGCTGTGCACCTCCTCCCCGTTATCTAGCACCGATCATAACCCAGAAGGTCTTTCAAGTGTGGGTTACTTTGTTTAATGTTTAATTTGCCACAAGATGGAGCTACACACTCCCAGAAAGAAAACAGGACTCTGGGCATCCAATTAAGGTCCTTATATAATGGCTATATCGTTCAAAGAGCATGCACTTCCTTGACCATGCTGAACTATGTGTATCTGGGAGAGGGGAAAGGAGGTTGCAGAGAGAATTTTTTAATAGAAATTAGACTCAGCATTTCCTGCTGTGGGTTCTTAGGAACAGTAGCAAGAAAGTGATGCCCCATAGAACTTTTTCATTAAAAAAAACTATGCATAGGAAAGGAACACATGTTCTTTCAACTATGTAGCCACTATATTATTACATTAATTAGGTGTCCATATTTCTGTCTTATTTCTGGGAGCATGTAATTACGTCCCACAGAGAAAGTGAGAGACAGATAGAAAGAAAAAAGAAAAATCTCATACAAATCAGTTAGAATTGCAATTAACTCTACTTTTCACTTCACCTTTTTTCATATTAGTTTGAAAAGAGTTTTTTGCTTTGATCCTGACATGGAAATTTGCATACATTTTCTATACAGTAATGCGGGCATTTATTTACTCCCACACACACACAAAGTACACAAAGTACTACACCTATATTCACATTGAATAAGGTGTGTTTGTATATGTTTTTCCATATATATGCATTTTTATCCTTTCACATATGCATAACTTCCTCTGTGGAAAATGGAACCAATGCCTCATACAGGTTCAGATTTCAGAAGTGTGCAGATTTCTGAGGCAGTCTTGGGAGACACAAAATGAATAGTTCCTGTGAGAATCAGGAACCTGCCTGAATTCTTTTCCTAATTCTCATTGTTGGAATTAACAAATTATTTAAATCCAATGTTAGACCTAATAGGGGCACATCCGTGGAAATGTGTATCTTCTGTGAGTTCAGGACTGGTGCAATTTCAGTTGATTTCAGTGAGTCGATTCTTGTGGGGGCTGAAATTGGACAGCAACTTAGAATAAATATAGCTAATTAACTGCATTAGAATATTAGAAGGTGAGGGGCTAGCAGACAGCCCAGAGACTCTCTG